TTTTAATTAGGTTCGAATTTTTGAACCGGACTTTTTGTCAGGTTCGAGTCCGGTTCAAGCTCGAACCGAACCAGACTTTTTTTCGGAACCCTAGTTACTCAAGTATATTTGTCATGAATACTATATAGTTTTGATATATATTTGTAACAAAGTTTATTGAGATTATAATTATATAAAGAAATTATTATTATAATTCATAAATTTATTTTTGAATTATATTTGTAATAATATAAATATTATATTTTGACATTGAAAGTTTGAGAATACTTTCTAGCTATTTAACTTACAATATAAAAGAATATAACTATTATCAATTTTTAATAATTTTATCATTAGTATTTTTAATACTTAGTACATATTCAATCTGTTATAAAATATTATTAATACTTTGAATTGTCATTAAAATATTATAAATCTCTTTAAGTATTTTTTCAAATATTATAAATATCTTTGAGTATTTCAAAAAGCCAATCAAATAGTAATAATACATATTGATATTCAAATTAATATTAACATTTATTATATATTTTTATTATCTGTTAGCTAATAATTCATGTTATTATGATTGAGTTTGACATAACATCTATTCATATTAATTTAGTATTAAATCCCATAAAAACTGATGTATCACAATATACTTATATATCAATTATCACAATTATTCTAAATATAAATAAGTACTAATTATACTTGTTGGTATTGTCAATTAATAATAATTATTTATAATATATTAAATTCTTTAATTATATAAAATAGTTCTTGATAGAACATTTGAATAAAAAAGAATTCAACACATGATTTTTTTTTGAATTAAAACATATGTATCCTGAATATTAGTATTTAGATTGCAATTTTCAATGAGATGAGAGATTATTGAATCTATGGTGCATGCCATCTAAAGTCATCAAATGTTTGTATTTTATAAAACGGATAAACTTCTTTACTAAGTAAATACAAAATTTAATCCGTAAATATGATAAAATAGACCCTTTCTGAGCATATTTACGGATTAAATTTTGTATTTACTTCTTAGTAAAGAAGTTTATCCGTTTTATAAAATACAACATTTAATGATTTTAGATGGTATTCACCATATGAGTTTTAATTTAATATTTGTGACTTCTGATATTCTACGCCTGAGTTTTCCTGTGATTCTAAAAGTTGTTTTCAGACTGTATTAGTGATCACGAATTCTTGACAGCTTTATTAGCTGCCGCGTCCTTAATATATCTTATAAAATTCGCGTGATGTCACATGTTACACAATAACAAAAATTTCGTAACATGTATATTTATTCTTAAGTATGGTTACATTATAGTTTTGATTTCTTTTTATCGATATCAATACGGAATACACCTTCTTGGGATACTGAAGCAATTAATCTTCCATCTTGAGTATAAATACGTCCGGAAGCCAATGCACGACCATATGCAGCTTTAGGAGTTTCCATAGTATATAAAAGCCTAATAGAAACATATTAAAGGCTTAAAATCTTACAATAATTTTTATTTCATTTAAATATATTACCATTCATCAGCCCTAAAGTTTAAATCGTGAAACCAAATAGAATGGCACAATGATGCCATCATTCCTATCCGCGTTTTAGAAATTGGAGAAATTCCATGTGGTCGAGCGGCAGTATAAAGTAAACTAAATAAAAAAAAGATGAATTAAAAAAGTGAAATGATAATTATTCATAATTGGAAATATAAATTCAATGATAAAATACTTAAAATCACTGGCATATGCAATTGCACCTTTATGTAGAGAAATTTCATCACTCAATTTTCCTTTTGCCTTGATCCATATTTTCTATTAAAAAAATTAATTAATGTATAGCTCTAAATTATTATATATTATTATATCATTATTTTACCTGATTGTTTGATTCTTTCGGATATAAAAGATCGTTCACTTTGAGAATCTCTGTATTACGAATCTCAATTGGCGAATTCTATAAAATGTTCAAGTATAAAAATATTTGCAAATAAACAAAAAAAGTAATTGACTCAAATATCTATAATAAAAAACCTCTAATTCTAATTTCTTTTCCAAGTACTTTGCATACCATCTAGGTACTTTTTCTTGTTTGACAAATTCTCGCATTAACTCTTCTTGACTAATTAATTTTGATAAAAATCAAAATGAGACTTAAATAAATAATCATAAGAATTAGTTAGCGACAAATTACATACGAACTAAAATTGTCTGGACCCAGACATTCAGGCATGGGGTCTTGATGCTCTAAACCTGAAGATTCAGCAACCGCAAAACTACAAATCAAATTGAATATACATCGCCCTTTCTGTATAGCTTTTACTGTTCTCGTGCAATAACTTCTACCTGACAAAAAACAAGCCAAATTATTAATTGATATTGATTAATCGAATAACAAGTAAAAATACCATCTCTCATCCGTTCAACTTCATAAAGGATAGGCATTTTATTATTGCCAGGTAAAATAAAATAAGAGTGTAAAGACTAAAATATTTTACATTAATAAAAATTATTTATAATAAAGTCAAATTAAAAGTACATATAAATTTTTAATTACGTGAATATTAAATTCTTTCGGAGTAGTTTTTATTGCTGCCATGAGTGCTTGGCCCACTACTTGCCCACCAAAAACTCCTCTGCCTCCTAGAGGTACCCATAAAGTTTTACTTCTGTAATGATTTATTTCGATTTCCTCAAGTTCCAATGCACTTTCAATCAAAGACATTGTTATAAGACAAATTCTTTAATGCCCAAGAATTCGCGTGTATGCATATTGATACGGTCATTCGCTCATAGATAAATTACAAAATTATGGAATCATGGTGATCAAGTGATACAAAGAAAATCGCATATAAATAAAATATCGATATTTATTTAAAATCAAAATTTTACTATTTTGAGTAACATTTTTGGCCTACTCGAAATATACAAGTGTCCCTTTCTTTTGGGACGTGACCAACAAATTACTTTTTATTGAATCTTGACTTACAATGGAGTATGGTGAAGATAGTGAGAACACGTTGAAAGGGTTAGACGACCGCGCGTCTTTCTCTCTATCCCAGTCGCGTACTCGTCACTCAAAACGACAATCTGACGGAAGACATAGTCTTGCTTTCAAATCAGACACATCAAAAGATAACCCTGGTGTAATAGAAATTGATTCTAAATACTTTTCGTCGAACTCTCAACTAGAAATTTTCGAAAAGGATAAAAAGAATCCCGATGTTCTTGCAAACGAGCTGGAACGTGCCTCAAAAATGTTAGTTTCAGCACAACAAGCTGACGATAATTTTGTTGATTCGAGTCAACAAAATAATGATGAAGTTGAAAATATTCAAAATGAAAAAGAATATAATTATTATAAGAACGAAAATGAAAGCAGCTCTTTTGAACAGAATGAATTTAGTGATCCGCAGCAGTATATTTGCTTTCTTAGAGAAAAATACGAAAAAAGATTGCAAGAAATGGCAACACGTATCGAAGAATTGGAAACTGAAAAAGATTTGGCTGAAGAAGAAAAAATGGCCATTGAAGAAGACAACTTTACTACAGAAGCCAAAGTAGAACAACTCGAACGTCAAGTCGCTGATTTAGTATGTCAACTCGAAAAACATCATAAAGAAACCAAATTTAAATTACATGCTTCTAACGAAAAAATTACTGAATTAAAAGGAAAGACAAAGGAGCTCCGAGAAGAGAATTCAATATTGCAACAAGAACGCGATATTTTTGAAGAAGAAAAAAAAGAATTGACAAAGCAATTAGAAGAATTGAATAATAAAATTAATGATCTAGAGGGGAAAAATATCAAATTAAGACACACTGTAGAACGTTTGGAATCAAGAAATACGAAATTAGAAGCTGAGATGTTAGAGGCAAACGACAGAGCTTCCAAAAAAATATCTAGCTTGATGGACGAGGTGGGTCAACTTGGAGAACAATTGGCTATGTCACGAGGTCAAGGAGAAGAATGGATTGAGGAGTACCAAAGAGAACAAAAAAGAATAGAGCCGCGATTGAGAGATCTAGGTGAGCAACTTCGTAATGCAGAGAAACAACAATTATTCTTGGAAAATCAAAGAAATTCTCGTTCATCTCGTAAAGACGAATTAACACTTGAAATAGAAAAATTATCCACTTCAGTTGAAGATTTATCTCACAATTTGGAAAAAAAGAACAAGGAGTTGATCTCCTTGAACAGTCGATATGAAACGAAAAAGAACGAGCTTACACAACAACACAAGAAAATACACGAGGACATTAAACAAATTGAAGACATTAATGAAAACATTCGTGATGATTTAGAAGTAATTACGAAAGAAAGGGACCTATTGGAAAATCAAATGGAAACCGCAGAAGCACAAGCAAATGACCTTATAAAGAAGGTAGAAGACTTAGAGGAACATAAGTCTAATTTAACAGCGCAGATTGAACAATTAGAAGCAGAAATAGGGGATATAGAAGATTACCGATCGAATCCAAGTAACTCAAACAATAATGCTCGTCTTTTAAGGGAAGAGGTTTCTAGACTGCGAGATGAAAATAACAAACTTATCAAAGATAAAAAACGTCTTGATGATGAAAAATCCAGATTAGAGATTCATTTGACTGAAATGGCAGATATGGCACAAAAATCATCCGATCAATCAACAGATAATGCTCAACATAATCAAGATGTGATGCTGGGAACCGTAGAGGAGATGGAAGAGAGAATGATTGAATTTGAAAATGAAATTGTTGGATTGCGAGCCGAGCGTGCATCTCTCGTAGCTCAATTGGCTACTCAAGACAATCAACTCTCCCTTTTACATAATTTACGTATGGCATTAGATCACGCGAAAAAGCAACTTTTATCGCGAGAAAATGAAATCCAGGAGCTTAAATCAAAAATTGAATTGAATGAACTGAACATGAAATCAAAGATTCTCGCTATTGAAAAATTGCAAATTGAAAATGCTAACATTTCACATAATGCATTAGAAGTATCCTCAAGTACTATTTCATCATCCGGATCTAATATTGCAGTGATTGAGCATGAACGCTTATTAGATGAACTAAATGCAAAACTTGACGAGGCACATGTTGAAATCGGCAAATTACGCTATCAACTCACAGAGGCTGCCCAAAGGGCTCAAGATGATATTAGAGATGCTAAGATAACAGAACTCGAATTTCAAAAGTCTGAATTGGAGAAAATATTACGAATTAGGGAAGAAGAATTAATGAAAGAGCAAAATAAATCAAGATCTCGATATCTCTCTATTCATACTGATGAGAATACACGTGGTGAGATTGTAGAAGGTATAAGTGGGCTCTTGTCTAATACATCTAATTCAGTTGATAAGGTGAGAATAATATAAGACTATCATATAATTGATTTTCTAAGTAATGAATTTTATGGTCCTCACTCTTTATTTCTTTATAGTTTACAAATTTATCATTTTCTCATGAAATTACTTGGATGAGTGCCGCTGACATCTCTTTTCATGGGTCGACTCCTGCTCGAAATAATGTAAAGATTAGATCTTTGCAACTTGACTTTCAATCACTGAAAGCCCAAATTGACGATTTAAATCAGCGTCTAGAGACTAAAAATATAGACTTAGAAAAAGCTATTTCTGCTGGCCGTGGTCTTACTCTTACCCTAGATGAAGCACATAAAAAAATACGTGAAATGGAAGATTTGATGCAATATTCGGAAAAATCCATGGTCATTCTCCAACAAGAACTAATTCGAAAACAAAGACGCACCGAAGAATTAGAACAACAGTTAAAGGAGCTGTGTCTCCAACGTGGTGGAGTCGTAGATATGGAAGGCATTGACATTCAATATAATAATATTGTCCATAATCCAAAGTCGAGTCAAAGCATGACGTAAATATTTTTGAAATTTATTAATTTAGTAAATGTTTCATATTTTTTGTTCAAGTTTTTATGCAAATGCTCTTTTGTTTTTATGTTAAAAGGATTGAAAAGGAACTCGAAGAAACTCTACAAAAGAATATGCAAACGGTAGAATATCTGGACCATTTAGTAAAAGTTGTCTCTCAGCAAAACAATTTTTTGAGGACAAGTAATAATAATGTCGATGCAGCTACATCCCCAATCAGAGGAACTGATTCTATGAAAAATGTACAAGCTCTACTTGAAGGACTATCACAACAAGCATCTCAAATGCAAAAAATGATGGAAGATAATGGAAATATTTTGAAAAGATTAGCTTCTACTGCTCTTACAGATTCGTCTTCAAAAAAACAAAAACGCCAGAGTACTAGATTAAGTAGTATTCCCCGAAGTGCCTCCAATTCGAAGCAAATTGATGATACAATTGAAATTAAGCGAGAAGATTTACAAGCTATTGTACAAGCTGGGAATGATTTATTTAAACATCCTGCGCAATTTATGTCTCGAATTGACAATCTTGCATCCACTGTCTTGGATAATGAAGTACGTTCAACAGAATCCCGAGATTTATATCAGCTTATCAGAGATCTTACTCCCAACTTGGAAAACACTGCTAGAAAAATAGAAATATTGACTGGGTCGCTGCAAAAGGTCTTGAGAGGTGATCATTTTTTGCAGTTCTTTATTTTTATATTGTATTTTGGATTAATTCTTTTATTGATTGAATCTTTATTATTAATTAGAATTCAAAAGAAATAGTGAAAGTGTAAAAGAAAATGTGGCTGCACATCAATCTGAAAAGTTCAACAGTTTAATTACAAGTGTACATGAATTAACGGCTAATAATATGCATTTGGCTATGCAAATGAAACAACTTGCTTCCGCACTGATTCCCACTCAAAAGACGGATGAGAGTTCATTTATAAAAATTCCTTCTCTCATTTCTCCTATAATGACTAATGATCCAAAAGACCAAAATGAAGTTGAAAAATTACGAAAATTGGTCGCAACACAAAGTCAATTGATTAACGACTATGAAGCGACTATTGAGTTATTCCAAAGGAGTGAGCAAGATGCACAATCATTACGCGCAGCTCTAAGTGCTATGTCTGATATTGATCTAAAGGATAAAGGTGCCGAAAACAATAATAAACAACTCCAATCTCAATTACAGGAATTTCGTAATCTCTGGATACAAGAATCAGATGCTAATAAATCTTTGAAGTTGGTCATGAAAGAAATGAAAGCTTCCGCAAATAAAGAAGAAACGAAATTGCGAAAAGAAGTAGAAGTATTAACTTCTCAAATAACAAGTTTATCAGAGAAATTACAAACATTTAAACTCCGAGCCGAGAAATTCGAACAAAAATTCCGAGAAACAGAAGCAGCCTTAAAAAATCTGACTGAAATTGAAAAAAATTTACGTCAGGAACGAGATACTATGAAAAATGGTCATGCGCGGGAACTTGAAACTTTGAAGCATCTTTGGGACAAAGAGCGTGCGATGCTTACCGAGTCTACAACAAAAAACAAGTCTCAAAAATTGGCGGCAATCGAAGGGAATCATAAGGAGCTAGAAAGTACATGGAAACAGGAGAAAGAAAGCTTGACGAAAAAATTGCGAACACAAAAGGAATCGTATGAGCGGGAGATTAAATCTCTTCAAAAGGTTCAATATTACAATTCTTAATTATCTCGGTGTCCTTTTTCCTACCTAGATAATTTATGCTTATATTTATTAAATATGAATTCAGGAAGTTGAAAAATTAAATTCTAAGATTCAAGATTTTGAAATTGAAATTCAATCCATAACTGCAAACAAAAAACTGTTAACCTTGGAAAAAGCTTCTTTGGCTAAAGAAAAGTCAGAATTGCAGCAACAATTGGATAACTTTCAGAAAGTAGGAAAAATTTTAGATTATATATAAATCAAGATTTATTCCAAAAATCTTCAATTAGCTGACCATTCCGAGATTTGAGGCAGGAATCCGAGCGTTATCGAAAGAAAAATTCTTCAGTCGTGGAATTGGAAAATCGTATGCGACGTCTACAAAAAGGTGATCATTCTCATATTAATCTCAAATTTTCTATATTAGAAAAAGATTTAAACTATAACTGTTCTTATAAATTAGAAAAAGATGTGAACGCAGAACGAGCAGCTCAAAAAATTGCAGACCTTCAAAAAGAGTTACAAGACACGATAGATAAGGTCTCCAAGTTAACAAAAGAAAAGAACGCACTTACAAAAGATAAATCAGAATTGAATCGAAAATACATGATTGCCGACGAGGTATTTCATTTATATTTTTTTTTCGTTATTCTGCAATTATCACGGCTAATTTAAGGTTTTACATCTTGAAGATGAAAGATTCACTAGAAGCTGAAGTACGCGCTAATAAAGAACACATGAAAGCACTTGAAGTAGAAATTCAGAACCTGACTGATCAATTACAATCTGAAAGGCGTGATCATCAATCTAAAAACGAACAATTATCGCGATATGAAGATGAATTGCAGGCTCAAGAACGACTCCGTGAAGAAATCGAACAGTTGCAAGATACTCTTTCACATGAAAGAAATCAACATCAGATTCAAATATCGAAATTTGAATCATTGTTAAATCAACGCAAAGTAACATCAGATTCTTCAGAGGAAGTAAAGAGACTCGATTGTGAATTGTCTGCTGCGAATTCTAGGATTAAAGAAATCCAAGAATCTGCGCACGCTGCTATCAACACACTTGAAGAAGAAATTAAAAATACAAAACAACAACTTGTCTTAATACAAAGGGGACAGACTAATAATCATTCACGAGCACAAGATTCCGAAATTCAGGTAAGACTTTGTATTATATTATTATAGCAATTATTTTAGATTGATTAGATTTTATACTTATTTTCTCTTTTAGTCTGAAATTACTCAATATAAGCAGAAATTCCAATTGGAATTAAATAAAGAACGTAAATGCCACGCCGAGGAACGTAGTCTATTAATTAAAGAGGTCCGCTATCAGAAAGCGAAATGGGTTCGTGAATCCGGTTTTCGAGCAGATTTAAGTTACCAAAAAAAGTTTATATTGCTTTTACTTGGTGGCTTGGAATCATGGTTAGTTGCATTGTTGTTTTGAGTTTTATTTTTTTTATTTTTTTTTTGATTAATTTTTTTTTTTAGTGACCATGCTACTTCACTATTGATTTCTAGCCTAGTCACCTTCCCTCAATTTTCACAACCTTCACCCCTTTTGCTGAAATTCAAAAGTGCTGTAACTGCCATAATAGCGATTCAACGGATGAGGTAACTTGTTTATTTTTTGTTTGTTACGGATGGAATACATCTCAATGTTATTTGTTCTTATATTTAAAATAGAATTCTCAAAAATTCATGGAATCGAGCTCGAGATTTAAAACGTCTTACACAACAACAGCAAAACTAGATTTATTATTAATTTTTTTTTGTTAATTCATATAATTATATAATGTAAAAACGTTGGTTAGAAACCAGTTTATGCAGTACAAATTGAGTGATAACGATTTAATTTAGCCTTTTATAGATCATTTTACAATAATTAATAATGACTCGCCTTTATCAAGTGCTATATATGTCACCATTGTTATTTGTTAATATGATTCTTAGCCTAAACATGTCGGACATTCAAAATGAGGAATTAGTACAAATAAGCGTTCACCAAGAACATATTTTTTGCAGGTCGCTGGTTTTCGTGTGGAATAAAAAGTATATCAGCGACTTATGAATTAAATTTTTTTTTATTTACAAAAGATACATAGAAAAGTTATCGTTTGTACATAATATATAAAAATAAAAAAAAATGAAAGTTTTTTCAATTCGATTTGTATATGTATTATTAATATCTCTTAACAATGCTTCAGCGCAAAAGAGCTTTGTGACTGCATCAACAACAAATGAATCCACATCTTCATCCGCATCTTCATCCTTTTCATCATTAACATCTGCATCTAGCCCACTAGAAACATCTTCCTCTTCCTCTTCCTCGTCATCGTCATCACCGTCCTCACCCTCATCTTCCTCATCCTCCATATTATCTACAATTGCAATTTCTTCATCCTCTAACATCATCTCAACTTCTACTTTATGGTTATCATCGTCAATAAAACCCACTCAACAATCAGAACCAAAAAAAGATCATGATCCTCCATCACCAATATGTCTAACAGATTGTGTGATTCAATGGAGTGTGATATCAGGAATCGGTGCATTCTGTATAGCTTTTCTTATTTGGCGTATTTTGCTCTGTTATTGTTATAAAAGGAAAATGCAAAATACGAAATCAAATGCAGCAACAAGGAGAAATGCGAATTTATCTAATAATAATAATGTTAACTTTACTGGATCAATAGATTCTTCATCTACAATCCAAAGACCAGCATCTTCATATACTCGAACATCAACAATGAAATACTCATCATCGCCAAAACGATTATCGTTTCACGGGAATTCAGGCAGTTATAATTCTAGTATATATTTACAACAGTCACGTAATCCTAGTGTATTACGAAAATCGCGAAATTCTGCTGTATCATCACCAAATAACGATAACACATCAACATTTATTAATATAAATTCAAATGAAAGCACTGCTAATAGTTTCTCATCGTTATCATCTCATATTAATAATGACGAACTATTAAAAGAGAATAGCAAAAATAGTGGGATAGAAAGTAAAAGTGAATTTTTTCACCAGAGTAATTTTGAGGATGAAGTTGATCAAATTCATTCACAGGATAACAGTCAACTTGGATTGTTAATAGAGAATATTTCAAAAGATGATAAATATTGTAATAGCAGTAATAATTCTAGTAACGGTAATATTAATATCGATAGTGATAATTATGGAATGGATTTAGAACAGCAAAAAAGTCATGCGCTCCGTAATTCTGTGCATCTAATTCATATTCTTGGATTAGACGATAAAGATAAAAATTTGCCATAATATCGATATGCAAATTTTAGTTTGTAATAATAGCGATAGCGGTAAATTTTAATAAATAACCCATTCCGAAAATTATCGAATTATGATCTCTCGATATAGTGAAGTTGAGCTCAAAAACAGTATATATTAAATCCTTTCGATATAGTGAATTTATTAATAAACTCTCGATATAGTGAGTTTTTCACTAATAGCCCGAACACTTTCACTATAACGAGGTTTAACTGTATTAGCCAATCGAATTCAAGAGTACAGTTTGAATTTTCTAGTACTCTAGTCATGTCATAGGGAACTTTATGTGATTGGCTGATCTGAATTAATTACTTGGGTATAACTCGATATATATCTCATCAATCTGGATAAAATTACTTCGATATTTCTCATATTTTATATATTCTTATTGGATAATTATATCCTTACATTTTTATTGGACAATTAATTAATTAGTTAATGATCATTTCAATTATTATTCTAATAATTATTTTAATGATTATTGTAATCATGTATTTTGCTTTATAATACTAGTTCCATATTTTAATCAACAAAATTCTGCACATGATTTTAAAGCTGATCAGGATTAAAATAAGTTTATACATATATAAAATTTTTTTCCAATATTTTTTAATTTGTGTTTTAAAATAGATTTAGATATTTGTTTGCTTGTATTTTTCACTTTTCTCATTTTTATATTAAATAATTGACAAAAAATTACATATTTTTATTATTAATTAATCAAGAACATGAAGCTGGAAGTAAATAACTTGATAATATAATTATTTCAATAATTACTTTAGTTTATAATTTGATTAATAGTTTTAAAAATATAATTTATTTATAAATATAATGTGTATCTTAATATTAAAAAAGTTAGTCAAGTTAATTATTTCTTTTATTTGTTAATTGATAAATAATTTTTGTTTAATTAATATAATTTTTTGATTTTTATATTATTTAATTAATAATCTTTTATCTTAATTACAAAATTATTTTAGTTTATTTATAATTTAATGATTCATATTATTTTTCTATCTAACTTGAAATTATATAAAAGATATATTATTTATTCAGAAATTATAAATTATATAAAAAGATAACAAAATTTTTTTTGTGAAAAAAAATCTTTAAATACATTAATAAAATAACAAAAAATTATTTATAAACAAAATTGTATTAACCAAAAATAATTTTTTGTAAATAATACTTATAATAGCTAAAAGAATTATAAAATTATACTTGTGATTTTATTAATAAAATATAATAAAAATTAAAATTTTTGTTTTATATAAAAGTTTTTAATTTTATTAATAAATTTTATATTAAAATAAAGATTATAAGTTATATTTTAATATATAGTTAAACTTTTCTATAGTTATCATTCTCAGAAAAGCAAAATTTGATAACTATAAAGAGAATATGACTATAGAGAAATTTTTTACTATATTTATATATAAATGTGAAAGCAAAATAAAGTAACTATAGAGTGATGTGACTATAAATAGATATAATTATAAAGAGTTTTGACTGTATATAGTGACTAAAAAAATTATGAAATTATATGTGATTTTATTAATAAAAATTAAAATTTTTGTCTTATATAAAATTTTTAATTTTATTAATACAGTCAAATCCCTCTATAATCATCATTCTTGAAAAAGCAAAATTTGGTAACTGTAAAGAGAATATAACTATAGAGAGATTTTTTTACTATATTTATATGTAAATGAGAAAACAAAATAAGGTGACTATAGAAAGTGTAACTATAAAAAGTGTAACTATAAATAAATGTGACTATAGAGATTTGACTGTAAATATTTTTTATTTTGATATCAAAACAAAAATTATAAGTTATAATTTAATATATATTTTCTGTATTTTCTAAATTTTTTTCTAATAAAGTTATTCTAATTACAAAATTATTGCAAAAATTTTTTATAATTAATTTTACTAGACATTACCTATCTTACTGTTCAGATATAAGAAATCATGTAGATTTCAAAAAAGTACTGCTCAAGGTAAAAATTAATTAATAATTTCAGTGATCATTATTTTAAGAAATAATTAATATAATCATAGAATATTCTCATAATTAGAATATTCTAGTAGGTTCTTATTATCTAATTATTAGATAATGAATTACCAGAGATGGTAATTGATAGAAATTTTTTTGATATATCATTTCTCTATATAAAGAGAATGAGTTTAGTAATGATTTAATACAAAATTTGGATCTATAAATTCAATAGGTGATACTAATTAACTGATCACTGATTAATATTACTAGTATAATATTAATTTAACTCAGCACTGAATGACTAATACTCATTAATATGTATATATTGTTTATTTTATAATTTATGTAATATAATATAATAGAAGTATTATGTATTAGTAATGATGATTTATCTAAAATTATGATATATGAAAAAGAGTTTAATGTAGATACTCTATTAAATATCTATTGTGAACATTGTTATAATCAGACTCTCAATGAGTAATTTAGTAATGTAAATATTTAACCAATATCTAATGATGACAATTTTACAATTACTCGATCTCATAGTAATTGATATTTTAGGATCATCACGCAGTATATTTTCTTTTATTAGTTGGATAGACTTTCATTATTATTAATAGATATTATATTTACTTAGTATGAAACAATTCTATAGCAATATAGTACTGATATTCTATAGCAATTTTGGTGATTATTCAATAATGTGCAATAAATACAAGTATCTTAATAAGTTATTATTTAATTAATTAATATGCAAATTTCATTAATAATAAATAAGAGATAGTTTATTGACTAGTTAAATTTTTGTAGTGATTAATTAATGTTTTTTTCAATCTTCAATTGTGTTTTATTTATAATAAATATTTTTCACTAATTAATATTACATTTGAATAAATAATGATAATGTTGAATAATTCTATAATATGAATAATTTCTGTAATTTCTATAATTTCTGTAATTTTTAAAATTACTACAATTTTTGGTTCATGTTTTTCTACATGTATATAATTTAAGAAATTATAAGATTATAAAAGAATTATAGAATTATTAAGAATTCTAAATCATAATAACATATAGAGTATATAAAGAATCTATTTAAAATTAAGGATAATAAATTTATAATTCTGAGTGATAATAAATTCTATAATTATATTAATGGTAATTATAGAATTAGTGAATTGGATATTAATAATATACTAGAATTGCTCATATAAATACTTTTAGATTTAAAAATAATGAGTTTGAGATAGTTAATATTTCTAATATCATATTAAATAATATAATTAAATCTGAAGTAGGATTCTGAAAAAAAGTCTGGTTCAGTTCAAGTCTGGTTCAGTTCGAGCTTGAACTGGACTCGAACCTGATGAAAAGTCCAGTTTGAAAATTCGAATCTAATTAAAAGTCTGATTCGAGTTCGGTTCGAATTTCGAACCTGACTCGAACCTGACCAAAAGTTCAGTTCGAGTTCAAGTAAATGTTTGTTAATGTTCTAAGTAAAGTTGTAGATCGTAACATGAGCTACAAATTGATATAAGATAGTTAATATTTAGGATGAATATTT